ACACACTCCCAACAGTCCGATGACGCCATGGAGCCGCGGCCGCCGCCGCGGCCGCCGCCGCGCCCTGCTCCTGGCGACGCCGCTGCATCCAGCGCCTCAGGCGCAGAGGACTACATGCCCGCGATGCCGCGCGCCAAGAGAGCACGTACATCTGATTACGCTGCTTACTGGCGCCACAATCTCGAGGACAGCGATTGGGGTCTTCGATACTGGAGTTATTACATCAAATGTTGGATCTACATTGCGATCAACAACGACGAGTATGTGTACATCCAGGATATCACGTACAACGATTGGTTCCGCAACTGGATCCCGAGGACCACTTGGGAAACGTTTACGACAAGCTATGTGACGTACAACGGCCAGAGGGCGTGGGACCGCAGGTTCTACAAGGACGGCGACGCGTAGTGTGTCGGCCGCAAGGCCCACTGCTCAAGAGCAGAACTTCCGTTCATCAAAGTTCGCCTTGAGCGGTGGCTAATACATTCTTTTAGGCCACTTCAATCTTTCACACAAGTGGCCATACACACATATAGATATTTTTTGCGATCACCGAGGCAGCCCCCTAAGGAGCAACGCCAACGGGAGTCGCCAAACAGATTTCATACATCATTTTCGTGTTCATCAACACGACATTTTCTCCTGGCCAGGTACTTGCTTTAACACAGATTTGCATTTCTTCCAGGATCGTGTTCGTCAACGCGATCTTGGCATACATTTGCTTTTAGGCAGACTTGTGTTTGATTTCAAGATTGTGTTCGTCAACACGATCTTAGCATGCATATTTTAACAATCTAACAATATTGCGTCGAGAATAATCTGATAGCTGGTGGCAACACCTGCCTCGCAAATCTTGCGAGGCGGTTTACATTGCCTTGGTGCTCAGATCTTCTTTCTCCGCCTACCTTTGTCTCATTCTTCTCCTCCCTCGAGTGCCGAAGCGTTTTGGGGGGCGCACCGAGGGGGCGGCAAAGACCGCCTGGAGAAGAAAAAGAGACCCAAGGTATCTCTTCTTACCTCAACTTGCAACTGGGCTCCGCTGACTTTTAGCCCAGCTGCCTTTCAGACTTAAGGTAAAGGAGTTCAGAGGTTACGGATTCCATCCTGCTGATCCCGAGTCCTGCCTTCACGGGCGGGATTCGGGACGGGGGGTGTGTATGGAACCCGTGTAATACCCTCATATATACTCCTTATCCTTACCTCTCCCGCACCTGGCCGTTTGGGCTCAGGTACTGAGTTGGAGCGATCGTACCTTGATCGCTTGGGAGGGAAAGATATCCATCTATCCCTCCATCTCTCTACCAACGGATCAGGGGTTCTGTACTCTTGTACTTCAACCCCATACACAGTTTCAGCCAACGCGCGGCGCGCCCGTGCCCCTCGCCGCGCCCGGGCCGGTTCCATCGCCGGTGGTGCGACTTCACGCGAAAGGGGCCATTCGTAAGACATGCTCCCATAGTGGCGACGCGCGTCACCTGGGCGGCGCGCCCGCGCGCGTCCGCGTCCTCATGGCGCGCGCGCTCGGGCAGACGAGGTTTGCCCTTTTTCAAGACGCAAGCAATATTCTCGCAGTGCTTGCTGAGACCTGGCAGCCTGAGCAATGACAAGGATGCTTCCACTTTCGCAACGTAGCATGCTATCTACGATTTCCATCCTCCTTAATATCTATGGCATCTTGGTCCACCTACAACCGGACGAAACGTTTGTCACCATCTTCGACGGATTCCGGAGTGAACGACCATGGACGGACGACGGGAGGTATATTTGCATGCGGCTGCGTAGTTTCCGCGCGGGTATGAGACGGCGCCCGCGACATAATGGACAGATGCCCGAATCTCCGCGAGTAGCAGGGCAAGGCAACAATTGAGAGAGTGGACAGTTTTCTTCCTGCGAAGGACGCTTTCAGATGGGTTGTCGGACCAGGCGGAGCATGCCCGAGTTTCCTAGATTTGCAAAATCGAGCGCCTAGAGCGAAATAGTTCCTTGCGAATCAGGTCATAACAGCACAAATTTGCATGTGAGTGTATGAAACAATGGTTATCCGACGAATTGAGGATGGCAGAGTCAATTGCAGGCGCGACTTGCCCGGCCAAAGAAACTCGCATGCTTCAGCCGTGGATGGCCGAGAAAGATAACGGCATGCCAAATTTCCGATTTGAGCCGCATTGTCGATTCATTGAGAAGTTGGCGAAGAGGTTTATCGCGTGTAATCTTTGGAGGGCCGCCAACGCCACCATTTCAACATGGTGGCTCATCACCTGGAAACACTTGGACCCTCCGGAAACACCGATGACACGCCCGCCTCTCTGTGCGTTCATCTGGCCAAATGAGGAAGACTGTGCAACTGAGCTGAAAGAGGGATGGGATATATGGGAAGATAAGCCCACGGCGGATAGAATGGATCCTCCAACGGCAATATGGCTGGTGAACGAGTACGCAGCCATGGTGAAAGATACTCAGTGCCGCGCTGGTCAACCCTTCCTTTAGAGCGCCCCAGCATGAACGCGAAGGCCCCACATAAAGTGCCGGCGGCTCTTTCCGATAACTGTGCGCGAGTGAGGCGTGAACGGTTAGTGGGCCTTGGCCCGAGTCGCCCTAATTTCTACATTATCAATCGCGCATGCTTGGATAGATCCGGATTTCGGATCGAGGGCGGTCCTTGTTCATTGCCCATGAGAAAATTGCCGAACATCGGAGGACACGTTGACGAGGAGTTGGAGTTCGATATTTCGAAGACTAAGACGTCGACGGAGTTGGCTGAGATATTCCTTGACCATGAGTCGTCGCTCCCTCGTGGAGCGCGCAAGCGTCCGCGCATGCGCCGGCGACGAACGACGCGGCAGTGGAATCGTGCAGCCCAGCGGTTATTCCGAGTCCCGCGTCACATCCAGAAGAGCCAGTTGCGGGGTTTGCTCCTGACTCAGTCGGAGGGGTTCCCGCGCGGGCTTCGACGGATTCACAAAAGCTCGATGCCGAGAATATGGGGGGCGGTGACTCAGTCGCTGCTCCTGCACCTGTTACTCCGACAACTGCTGCCCCTCGCGCCTCCCCCCGCGACTCCCGCGCGGGGGGCCGCGGTGGCCGCCGCCTCCGATGGGCGACCCCTGCGCGAGGGCGCGCGGGCGCCGCCGTGGCAGAACCCGCAGGCGGCGACGACGAGGCAGAGGAGCAGGAGCCGCGACGGGCAGTCGAGGCTCGTTGACGCGTCGGCGCCACCATGGCGCCAACCAGCACAAGATGGGCAAAATCTGGGAAACCGCGCGTCGAGCAGCTACTCGACGCGGGACAACTACCAGCGCGGCCAATACCAGGACCGCTGGAACCGCAACCACCACCATGACGATCCCGAAGGCGTTGGGAAATGGGCACGGAGCCGAATGCGGCAATGGTGGTCGCAAGAAGAATATGACGCCGTGCGTGACAACGAAGGGAACTTCATCTCGATAAATACGAGGTGAAGAAGAGAATGCTGAAGGTGGCTCAGCTTCCAAGGCGCTACTTGCCAGAGAAGAGCAGGACAAAGTACCTGCACATGATATACCAGTTCTCCTACTGAGCTCGGGCAATTTGTTGCGGGGTACGTCGGCCGCTCTGACATTGCCCGCGGGGAGGTCCAGTGGGATTATCGGCCCTTCTGTTCCGGCGCTGTAAAGCGTTCTTTTTTTGGGGGCGCATTGTGCCCTGGGGGGTGCCGCGAAACCGCGGCGCTCTCCGGGCTGGGTTGGATGCATAGGGTCTACGCGGCCCGCCGCGGGGGGAGTTGTTAATGCGCTCTCTTCGCTCGCCCATGTGCTCGCCGCCGCCGCCGCCGACGATGCCCGCAGCTAAATGCGGATCAGAAAAGTATAGCCCGCCCTCCGCGCGCGCCGGAAAGAATGGAGTGTGGAGGTCGCGTCGTTGCCACCCTCTCTTTCTTTGCTCTCCCTTTTCATCTTTGTGTATACCCAACGCATAGCTTAACGGATCCATCATGAGCCATGAGACCCGTGACACACAAATGCACTTCCCAACCCCACTTCTCATTGGGAGTCATGATTCTCTGTCGAATGGCGGAGGATCCTGACGAAGAAGATATAACTTCCGTGCGGTGCTGCATGTTGGTAGGCTTGCACATACTCGTGCGCCCATTGGCTCCAGATACTAGAGGTGTGTGATGGCCGGTTCTAGGGTCCGGCCGCATTTCTTACATCAGAAGCGTGGTGCTAATTCGGCATGGTTATTTTAGGTGTAGTGCAGTTTTGCTTGTTCGACTTATCGGCGTCATGTGCGCACCACTCGTGATCATACATCGTGTCGAAGGTTTCTCGGCAACTATCGCGTTTGAATCATGACGAATGCAGGTTTCCCCGGACAGTCCTTGCATGTTTGAGGTTGTGTTTTGATTTGCGTGGAGTTGGCGATATTTTGCGCAGCGTCGTCCCGTCTCGGAGGCCTATGGCTTGTGCTATATCGTGCGCCTTGTTGTGCGCAGCCCGCTGTTGCTGAACGGTGCTCTGTGGCCGTTCCCGCTCGGTTGGCTCCTGCGCGATGCATCGGTGCCCCATGTGTCGCGGTCGACTGTTCGCGCGTTGGCGCCCCGTGGCCAGTGCCTTATGCGTTGGTGCCCCATGTTTGGTGCCTTATGGTTGGCGCAATGTGGTCGGCGCCTCAGAGTCGGAGCCTCGATCCTTATGGTTGGTGCTCTCTGGCCAGTGCTCTATGGTCTGGGACATAGCTTGCATGTTGGGAGTACAAAGCCCTATTGTGCGGGGTCCACGCGCTGGCATTGTAGGACGGGCGATTCCTCACCTTCAGCGTGGCAAGGTATTTGGGTGTGGCTCCTGGACCGCGGCCCCGAAGCCTGTCTCAAAGTGCCCCACGTATGTCCGAATTCCAATCAAAGGCTGCAGCTTCGACGCTTCCAGAACGGAGGGCCGTTCTGGCTAGGAGAGCTGCAGGCCCCCTCGGCCTCCGATGCCCCTGTTTTGCCCGTTCTGCCCTTGCGTAACAACAGACTCCAGGAAACCCTCCAAGAGGTGACCGATGTGCTTCGCAGTTATGAATACAAGAAGCGCCGCGGCGAGGATGGGAAAGAAGAGCTCACGACGGCATACAGAATGTGCAAGGACGCGGAGGAGGCTGGCGAAGGCGTGGATTGCGCCACAAACAATCGCGCCTGCCGTGATTTGAGGTCACAGTGCGTGGGCCTCCCGGAGAGCGCGGGCGTCCAGTTGAGCTTCAAACGGGTGTGTCTCACCAAGGCGGAAATGGAGGAGACCCTCGAGCCCACCGAAGCGCAGATCGAGGAAGGGAAGGCTGACCTCAACGCCTCCTTCGGATTCGAATCCAGGAGGCGCCGCCGCAGGGCTGGCTCACTTGCCATGGACCTCTTATTCCCCCCGTACTACTACTCATACCACCCTTATTGTTACTCTTGGTATGGGTACGGCTATGGCTACCCGATCGTTCCCTACGGCCCTTTTTACGGCTCCCACGGTGCCCTTGCTTTCGGGCCACATGCCCCTGGCATATTGCTCATGCAGGGCGCCTTCCACGCCGTGAGAGGCCTGGCTTGGGTAGGAGGGGAGATGGCTGGAGCTGCGGGCAGTGCACTGGGTGACATGTTCTCAGGTTGCCAAGGGGACGGCGCGGCGATCTGCGCCGGTATTATGGTAGCAGTGGTCATTATAATATCGCTGGCGCTTATCGGGAGCGCCGTCCACCGGCATTGTCAGAAGGAGGACGAGAATTGCAGGTCCTGGTGGTACCGCGGAGGGCGCCTGCGGAGCAAGATGAGGAAATGGAAAGGGTTGTGGGAGGGCATCGAAAAGCACGTCTACGACGACCTGGGCGGCACCCTGATTTTCGACGGGGTCCAGGCGATGAGCAGCGACCCCTGCGTCGAGAAGATGCAATGGGGGAGGCGGTGGGTTCCGGCGGCCGACAACTGGGACTATTGGGACGAGAATGTGCCGGCGAAGTGAAATTGCGTGGGGGCCTCTCCCCTTCCCTCCTCCTCATTTCTGTTCTTTATCGAGGACACCGGCGGCGCATCACCGGCCGCTCTTTTGGAAAAAGAGACAACACCAAAACCGAGAGGTCTAGCACGCCAGGCACCCCTGCGATGAATCGACAGGGGGCGGCGGATCAAATAGCCGTCGGCCCATCCCGCCACCGTGCTTGGGTTTTGGGTCGGAGTCCTCATGGACGCTTCCTGGGGTCTCTCTCGGGGGCCTCTGCGGGGGAGTTTAGGGGCCCCTTGGGGACCATCATCTTGGGGGCTTTGGGAGCCTTGGGGCTCTGTTGGGGCCTCTTGGGGGGCCTCCTGGGGGCCTCTTAGAGCCTCCTGGGGGCCTCTTGGGACCGAAAGCTCGAAATGTTCATTCGGGTTCCTCTTCCGGGCGCCCTCGTGGGGCCATCCTGGGGCCCCTCTTGGGCCGTCCCGGGGGCCTCTTGGGCCGTCTTGGGGCCCTCTTGGGGCCCTCTTGGGCTGCCTTGGAGCCCTCTTGGGGGCTTGTTGGGCCGTTTTGGGGCGATCTCGGGGGCCTCTTGGGCCGTCTTGGAGCGTCGGTAAGCCGAAATGGCGAGAGCGCGACAATCTTCAACAACCACAGAAAAGTCAGTGATTCTTGTCTCTTGGGGCTCTTGGGGGTGCTCTCGGAGGCGATCTTGGGCCGTCTTGGAGGCGTTTTGGGCCATCTTGGGCGTCTTGGAGCGATCTGGAACCGTCTGGAGGCTCTCTCGGACCGTCCTGGGGCTCTCTTGGACCGTCTTGGAACGGTCTTGGGTCGTCCCCGGGCCGTTCCAAACGTTCAGGGGGTTGAGGCCAGGGGGGTGGGCCGGCGGCAGGGTTGGGCCCCCTCGGAGGGACTTTCAGGAGGTTTTTGACCAGGCACTGGCGAAGGGGGCCAAACACTCTGTCAGAGAGGTCTCGCACGGCCCGCAACCCGCAGGGCGGGAGCGGCCGGATCTCAAGGCTGCCGCCTCTGCCGCCGACCCCAGCTGGTGCTTCTTGGGGGGAATCGGGGCGTGGGTCTCTACTTGGGGCTTTTCGGATCCTCTGGGGCCGTCGTGGAGGCGTCTTGGGGTCTCCTGCGCGTAGATTCGTTGCCAATGCCAACGTGCATTGATTGATTTCCGCTTTTCGAAGCCCTCTTCGAGTTCCTTGCGGGGCGTTCTTGAGGCGTTTTGGGCGCCCCTTGGGTTGTAGTCAGGCGCGTTAGTCCGTCTGCCGAATTGGGTGTGCGGGACGCATGCGGGCGGCAGCACTGGGGCCTTCGGCGGAGCTCCCCTTGGGGCCACGAAACGTGTGAGGGTGTGCCGAATTGGGTGTGCGTGACGCATGCGGGCGGCAGCACTGGGGCCTTTGGCGGAGCTCCCTATGGTGCCACGAAGCGTGTGAGGGGTGTGCCGAATTGGGTGTGCGTGACGCATGCGGGCGGCAGCACTGGGGCCTTCGGTAGAGTTCCCTATGGGCAGCACTGGGGCCTTCGGCGGAGCTCCAATGGGGCCACGAAACGT